CAGTCTCATCAGCAAAATATCTTAAAAGTCCTTTGCTGGTAATCAGGTCAAATCCAACAGTTAGTCAGGGGGGTTGATAGTTTGTTTTTTCACGTAACTCTTGTTGTTGCTGCTATATTGGCTAAGTTGCTGTGTTTGCTTTTCATAGCAGAATCCCCCATACAGCTGAGGGGGCAAATTCTGCCCTCCCTTACACCAGTTGGTGCAATTCCATTGAAATCGATGAGGCTGCACTGGTGTAAATGAGGGCAGAATTTGGCTCAAGCGTTTAGATATCGAACCCCCTTCTGCAAGTGTTCACTAACTGCCTCATCACTTACTGTACTGGACAAGCCCACAAAAAACTTGATGCTGGTTAGGCTGCTGGTGTGCTGAGACCACAGCCTGTCATGGTGACCAATATTGTCTCATTGTTCTCTTGTACTCCCTCAGTCTCTCTCAATCCATCTGCTGTCTCTTGTTTTACACTTTGATTGAGAGCTCTTTCGGGCAGGGTTTGTCTTTTTGGGCAGGGTTTGTACAGCGCCTAGCACGATGGGGTCCTGGTCCATGACTGGGGATCGTAGGTGCTACTGATATAGAAAGAAGGATACATAATAATTTGCTCCCGGGTAAAGTCCCATCAAAGCCAGTGGGACCATAATTCAGTAGCAAGCACTACTCCCCATAGTAAATGTCTGTAGTACTGAACCCACAGTGTGGGTGCAGATGGGTCTGGTACTATACATGGGTCTGCTGAACCAAAGTTATGGAGAAAGGAGTATTAATTTTATTCAGCATAAAGCTGCATATGTGGTGGGGATGGGTTGGTGTTCAGTTGCCCATCAAGAAACCACTGATGCTAAGGTACGGTAACTACAGGTTGGCCACATGTGATCATAACTGGATGGCTTAAAAATTTCCCTTTCACTAGTGGTGTTCTTTGTTAGCCCTGTCCTGTAGTAGGTGACTTCTGGCTCCGTCTATCTGTTTCTTCACTTCAGCAGGTGGGTATTGTAGTTGTAAGAATGCCTGATAGAGATCGTGTAGGTGTTTGTCTCTGTCTGAGCTTGGCTGTAGACAATGGATCGTGTGGTGTGGTCTGGATGAAAGCTGGAGGCATGTAGGTAAGTATAGCAGTCAGTAGGTTTCCGGTATAGGGTGGTGTTTATGTGACCATCACTTATTAGCACTGTAGTGTCCAGGAAGTGGATCTCTTGTGTGGACTGGTCAAGGCTGAGACTGATGGTGGGATGGAAATTGTTGAAATCATGGTGGAATTCCTCAAGGGCTTCTTTTCCATTTTTTCATGTTCTCTGTGTGTATATATATCTTCCTACTGTATTTTCCCCTGCATGCATCCAATGAAGTGTGTTTTAGCCCACAAAAGCTTATGCTCAAATAAATTTGTTAGTCTCTAAGGTGCCACAAGTACTCCTTGTTCTTTTTTCTGACATAGTGTAGACCTGGCCCTTGTGTCCCCTCTAAAAGGCTGCAGCAAGTTTGAGAACAAAATGGCTGCTGAATTCTGCAGCCCGAGATAATTTTTAGAAATTTAAAGGTGCAGTAGACTGAAAAGAAAAAAATAGATTGTTACCATCACCACACAGACACGTTGTAAAAGGGCCATTTCTATTTATTTCATGCAGGTGATTCCCCTTCTTCAGCTGCTGGTACCACAAGATGGTACTACGGAAGTCAGCAGAGAATGGCGTTTTCTTTTAGTTAACGTAGAATGCTGTTTTCCAAGCTGTGTTTCATAGAGTACCCCGGTGGTTCCCACAGTGAAATACTGGGAGAACCTAGAGGTAGGGGAACCACAGGTTGAGAAAGGAAGTGGGTCCCTGAGAGGATTTTTCTGTTATGAAGTGGGCTGTAGGTTGGAAAGTTTAGAAATCACTAATCTAGAAATTATGTAGGGGACTGTGTGTGCCACCACATTATGACAGAAGTTCTGAGCACTGATGTGGCACGTCTGGTCCAACTTAAATCTTAGATAGAAGCCTTTCCGGTTGTTTCTGAGAGCACCAAACACTTTGTGGGATAGTAGGTTCAGTTTTCCAGTTACCTCTGTGTGAAGCAGATGAGAGAGGCTGGCAGATTGGTACCTGTGGATTCCTATTCTAGGTGGTTCGAGTATCTTAGTACCATTCCATCCTATTGATATCAATGTATTAGGTGAGCCAGGTTGACTTCAGTGTAGTTGTGTTCAATTTACCAGTGGGGAGTATTTCCCACTATTATTTTCTGATTATAAAGGGTGGTTGATTTCCTTATTTAAAACAAACAAACTTTTTATTTTTAACTACAGTATTTTACAGAAGTGTAAGTGTAACCCACACACTTCCTGGGTGTGGTGTTCTGTCCCCTCTAGTGGCACCGAGACCACTGAGGCTGGGTCTACACTACAGCGGGGGTCCGACCTAAGATACGCAACTTCAGCTATGTGAATACCGTAGCTGAAGTTGCGTATTTTAGGTCGGCTTACCTGGCGGTGAGGACGCGAGAAAGTCGACCGCTGCCGCCGACTCCGCTGCCGCCTCTTGCCGAGGTGGATTTCCGGAGTCGACGGCAGAGCGATCAGGGATCGATTTTACCGCGTCTTCACTAGACACGGTAAGTCGATCCCCGATAGACCGATTGCTACCCGCTGGATCGGCGGGTAGTGAAGACATGCCCTTAGAGAGAGATTAATGAGTTTGCTCTACAGCCTTAGCTAACAGCCAGTTGGTTTTTAGCTCATGCAGTAGAGGCTCATGCACTAAGCTCCAGAGGTCCCAGGTTTGATCCTGCCTGCTGATGAGCAGGGGCTGTTGGCATTGCATAAGCACCTAATCACTGTAGTAATACAACTGTAACCAGCAGGGTTTGAGTAATTACTGTAGAATACCATAGGGTGGTACGTGTGTATAGGTAGGGTGTATGTGGCTTGGTCTACACTAAACCCCCAAATCGAACTAAGGTACGCAACTTCAGCTACGTGAATAACGTAGCTGAAGTTCGAAGTACCTTAGTTCGAACTTACCTCGGTCCACACGCGGCAGGCAGGCTCCCCCGTCGACGCCGCGGTACTCCTCTCGTCTAGCTGGAGTACCGCAGTCGACGGCGAGCACTTCCTGGTTCGACTTATCGCGTCCAGACAAGACGCGATAAGTCGAACCCAGAACTTCGATTGCCAGCCGCCGAACTAGTGGCTGGGTGTAGACATACCCTGTGTAATATAATCAAGTGTTGTATTTAATCTAGAAATGTGATTTGGGGCATTAAAAAGTGGGATTCTAATGCAGAAGACTTGAATTAGCCTATTGTTGTCTTCTACAGCAGGGCCAGCTCCAGGCACCAGCTAAGGAAGCTGGTGCTTGGGGCGGCCAATACAAAGGGGCAGCATGTCTGGGTCTTCGGCGGGAATTCGGTGGTGGGTCCCTCAGTCCCTCTCTTCCTCTTTGAGCTGCCGCTGAAGTGCCACTGAAGAATGGAGCGGCACGATTGAGCTGCCGCCGAACGGCTTTTTTATTTTATTTCTTTTTCCCGCTGCTTGGAGCGGCAGAAAACCTGGAGCCGACCCTGTTCTACAGTAGTGTTTTGGGCCCTTAATGCACTATTTTTATAAAAGGAAAGCTGAAGTGAAAGTGGCAGTTGAATCACTATAGTATTCCTTATCTGACCATTTGCACCTTAATTTTCTAAGGCATATCTTTATGTTAAAAGGACACTATCAAATGTATTATTATTTGCCTTATTGTGACCTCACCTCAGTGTATACTGGTGTCACTCCATTGATTGCAATGGAGTTACTCCTATTTTACATTGGTACAAGTGAGATTAGAATCAGGCCCCCTATATTTTTAAAAGTAGTTTTTTCTACACTATGCTATAAATATTATCTTAGAGTATGACAACTGAAAGAATCTTTATAATCGAAATTTATTTTTCACCATGTATGCAGTTTGGTTACTTTTTGAATATCACTCAGTTTAACTAATGACTTCAGGATTTCTTGTGATAGAAGTATGTTGCAGTGTTTGGGTTACAAACAGTGCTGGGGGATGCTGATTTTTAGATGGGATTTTTTTTTTTAAAAGCTGGACTGCATTCCTTTAAGCACCAACCATTCTCATAGAAAAACTGTGTTCCTGTCTTTCAGGAATATACTTCTTGTGGCTTGATTTAAAGGTAACCTGCAAAGGGAAATAAATGAATGTGGGGCCTTTATTGCTTTTTTGTGCGGTATAGAGAAGCTCTGGAATGTTTCTTGGTTTTTAAAAGGATTTTGCTGTAACATTAGAAATTCAGATCTTGTCTGCCTTGGAGATGCTCTGACCAACTGGAGAACTAATAGGCTGCTGCCATGCAGAAACCATGGACGTGATTAACTTAGAATGACAGTGATTTTGATCTAGTTGGTTTAAATCTCTATTTGGTTTTTTTCGGTTTGTCAAACACCTGTTTAACTCAAACACTTGCTCCTTTCATTAAGGTCTGAAGCAGCTCCCGGAACACACAGCTGAGCCAACCTAAGTTCTCCAACAAAAGTCTGAAAGACCAGACTTTAGGTCATTGAGAGCACTAAAGGAAAAAGGAAACAGAATGAATTGTTTTACAAACCCATTTTCTCCCCCCTCTGTAGGGGGGAGCATCCCCACTTGATGAATTCCCTCCTCTCCTCCTCCTGAAGGACTGCAGTAACATAGGCTACATCTAGACGGCAGCACTTACGCCAGCGTAGCACTTGTGGTGAAGATGCTCTAAGCCAAGGGGAGAGAGATCTCCCGTCAGCTTAACAACTCCTCCCTCTGAGAGGCGGTAGCTATGTTGGCTGGAGATGCTCTCCTGCCGACATAGCACGGTCTACACCGGCGCTTAGGTCGGTATAACTTCCCAGGAGTGTGAATAATCCGCACCCCTGAGCAATGCATAACTTACATTTCTCAAAAGTAACCTGTAATGTAGACAAAATCTTAGAAGGACGGGGGCTTAAAATGTGTCATGGACTCTGACTTGTGTATTGTTTGTTTGACCAGGGACAAGGAGCTCTGTCTGAGAGACTCAGGAGCTTTAGCATGCAGGATCTCTCAACCATTCGAGGAGACAGCAGCAGTCCTGTATCTCCTCCCGTCACTGTACGAACAAGCAGCAAACAGAGCAAGCCCAAAACATCCAGAAGTGCATCAGAAAGCACGGGCAGCTCAGGTAAGTCTCAGCATTTTCCTCGGTCTTGTGTTGTTATCTGAAGCTTTTTTCTCCACTCATGGATCCTCAAAGTGGAGCAACAGAGGAATGCAGGAAGCACTGGCTCAAGGACATGGAGATATACAGATACTGTAATGCTTAAGTTCACAGGATAGCATCACAGCTTAGTCTCAGGCCAATTAAAGGAGGGAGCAAGATTGCTCTGCGATGGCCACCATTTTGGCAGACACCAAGGATTGAACCTTAAACTTCCAGAGGGGAGAAGCATGAGTTTCTACAGCTTGAACTAATGCAGTGGCTCTCAACCTTTCCAGACTACCGTACCAGTTTCAGGAGTCTGATGTGTCTTGCATACCACAAGTTACACCTCACTTAAAAACGATTTGCTTACAAAATCAGAGCTAAAGATACAAAAGTGTCACAGCACACTGTTACTGAAAAATTTCTTACTTTCTTATTTTCTAATTATATGGTAAAAGTGAATCAATTGGAATATAAATATTGTACTTATATTTCAGCGTATAGAGCAGTATAAACAAGTCATTGTCTGTATGAAATTGTAGTTTGTACTAACTTTGCTAGTGCTTTTTATGTAGCATGTTGTAAAACTAGGCAAATATCTAGGTAAGTTGATGTACCCCCTGGAAGACCTCTGAGTACCCCAAGGGGTACCTGTATTAATTAATGGAGATATCCTATCTCCTAGAACTGGAAGGGACCTTGAAAGGTCATCGAGTCCAGCCCCCTGCCTTCACTAGCAGGACCAAGTACTGATTTTGCCCCAGATCCCTAAGTGGCCCCCTCAAGGATTGAACTCTCAACCCTGGGTTTAGCAGGCCAATGCTCAAACCACTGAGCTATCCCTCCTCCCTGGTTGAGAACCACTGTTCTAAGGGGTCAGGCTCTGGGGCCGGAGACTGCAGCAGATTCTTATCCTCTGCAGGGCAGCACAGAGCAGGAAGTATGATGCACATAGACAATATAATCCTGCCGCAAGATTGTGTCGATCAGGACAAACATGCCGAGCTGACAGCTCTCATGTACCAGTGGAGTCCAGTGACTGCTGAATGTGGGTGGGTGAAATTGACACTCAGGGTCCATTTATCGTAAGGAGTAAAGAGCGTAGGGTAAAATCTTCAAAAGTACTTGTGACTTGCGCACAAGTCCCATTTTCAAAAGTAACTCAGGAGCTTAAGTCTCATTGAAAGTCAATGGGACTTAGGCTCCTAATTTTCTTTTGAAGATGGGACTTACGCCTCTCTGTCACCTAATTTTGAAAATTGTACCCATGACATGCTGTGTATCTAGTGTGAATTAGGTACACCAGTGCCTACCCTGACTGTCCTCTGAATCACCACGGAAATGTACAGTAGATATTATGACAGTCATATTTTAAGATACTGCACTATAGACAAAGACAACTCATAAATAAACCCCCTATCAATGTATGTGTAAGGATAGATGCCAAGATTTGAAAGCTATTTATGAAGGATGTCCCGTAAGTGTGGATGGAGGGAGAGGAATAGAAGCAATTGCCTCTGAAATGTATTTGCTTAGATTCAGCTTCTAGGAGGACAAAGCAGAAAAGCAGCACAAATTTTGCTTTGTCAGAAAAGTGTGGAGGTCAGAAGAGGGAGAGATTTCATTATAAAGATTTTTGCAAGTTCAGGTGTGAAAAGCTTTGTAGGCCCAGATCCAAAATGTGTGGCTTGAGCCATCTCTGCAGATAAATTAATCTGCAAGCTTGTTAGATAGTGGATTGTCCCAGACAATGTTTTCCAGAATTCTTCTATATCATCCTGAGGCCAAAACTCCTGTAACTCCCTGCTTGATTCTGGGGAGAGGTAAGGTTCTTGAGAGGATAGGTTCTCCTGGAAAGCAGCAGGTTTATCAGCCTTTGGAGGCTGGTCAGTGAAGTGGAAAGTAGAGTTGTTTGAAATCTAGCAATTTCAATTTCTGTTGGGGTCTGTGTAAACGTTTGCTGGGTTTCAGATTTATGTGAATTTGCACCTTCTCTCCTCCCACCCCCCAAGGTTTGCTTTGAGTACTGGGATCTACCGGTAATGTCTGCTCCTTGGTTACCACCATCATCTTTGAGCACCTTACAAATTCTTAAGATTATAAATCGCAAGGATCTCTGGTGATGTTTTTTCCATCCCCCCATTTGTAAGGGTTTGTCTATACACAAGCCTACACCAAAATAATAAAATTGCTTTTAATTCACACTTCTGTTATTCCAGGGCAAGTTTGTGTGTGAACACACTTGGCTCCAATTTGTGTGTCATATTTTGATTGATTAATTAACAGGACACACTCAATCTGAAATAAGAGGGTTCACAACAACAAAATAGGACATTCTTAATCCAAAATAAGCGATCACATGCAGACTTCCACCAAAATAACCAGTAAACCTGCTTTAGATATATGTTTGATTTGGTGGGTAGACCAGCCCTTGTGTTTTGTTCTAAAGAGAGTGACACTGGGCTCAAATGAACTCAAACTCACTCAACATTGCTGATTTTGGCCTGGTTTCACACTGACGCCACACATTGACCTCGGGTCTTCCAAAGCTGGGCCCTGGATAACTGAACTGTTCATGAACCGTTCAGCAAAGCTGGGCTGAGTTCAGAGTTCCTCGCAAAAATCAAGGATGCAGGTGATTTGGTGTTTTGTAATGAAATTTGTAAACAGTGTATGTGTGCAAGTGAGAGGGAGAGAGAGATTTGCCAGTCAGGTGGTACCATGTCTGGCGAGCCATGGACAGGGGTAAGCAGCTGGACTTCCCACCCTACTGCAAACAGAGTGCACTCACACTAGATACAGTCCAAACTGCCCTCGTTCCTGGAGTTTGCCTTCCAAATTAACAACAAAACACAGATATATCTACCTCAAACATTTACTGTACATCTTTTTATACTGCTGGGTTAGAGCTAAGAGGACTCAGCTGCTCTGACATCAGCAGGAATCAGCAAAAGTATCTCTGCCTCTGTGCACAGTACTTGACAGGGTGACTCAGCTGAAAGGCTTTGCATTCCTGTAAAGGGTCTGAGAACCTGCCAGACAGTTACAGTGACAGCAGTAGCTAGATTACAGGGGACAGGCAAATCTCCTACAGCTTCAAGAGGATTTACAGAAATCCTGGCCCATGCTAACATATTGTAACAACCGGGACTCGGTATTGCAAGCCTTCTGTAAGTGGAACTCCTGCTTCGTGAAGAGAGTTATTCCAGCCTGGCGTGCAGTACTGGGTCCTGCGTTTGCAACAGAGGAAATCTAGTTGTTCAGGCACAAGCCTAGGACTTAAGAGACCTGGGTTCAAGTTCTTGCTCCACCACAAACTTCCTGTGTGACCTTGGATAAGTCACATACCCCACATCCTCAAAGGGATTTAAGTGCCTTATCTGGGCCTTAGTGTCTGTGCCTCAGTGCATCTGTCAAATGGGGATAGTAGCATTTCCCAGAGGTGTTGTGAAGACAAATGTTAAAGATTGCAAGGTGCTCAGATACTATGGTAAATACCTTAGCTAGGTTCTGATGTGCATTTTACTTCAGTGATTGAAATTAATAAAATATGCAATTAACTTCCCCCAGAAGTTCCCCTTTGGGATCAGTTCCAGTTGTTGGAGAGAGTTTCTGGAGGAGAGTGTGTTGTTCCTGAACCGCTTTCTCTGTTGCTAGTAATAACATTCCATCTTGTCTCAAAGTCCATGGCCCATCCAAATTTCTGTTTTGCACGTGGGAGGAAAATTCTCTCTTGAGAAAGCCATGTGTTAGTGTCACAGAGTGCTCTACTCACCACTGTAGCGCCTCCTTCTGGCTGCATCCAGCAATTAGCTCTGCCTGGCCATCAGCCCTTCCTGCAGTTGCACTCCATTGCTCTCTCTCGGGACTCAAATGCTCCCGCTTTGTGGAGCGCCCATGGAAAAAAAAAATAGTGAGCACCCACCAGCCACCTAACAATCAGCTGGTCAGTGGGCCCCCACCAATCAGCATCTCCCCTCCCCCCAGCACTTCCTGCCCACCACCAATCAGCTGTTCGGTGGCAGGCGGGAGGCACTGGGGGATGCAAAGGAGCATGGGTGGGAAGAGGCAGAGCAAGGGCATGGCACACTTGGGGGAGGGGGCAGGAAGAGGCAGGGTGGGAGCAGAGCCTCAGGGGATGGACAGGAAGAAGCACAGCAAGGGTGGGGCCTTGGGGTAGGGTCTCAGAGCAGGGGTGGAGCACCCCCAGGAAAAGCTGAAAGTCAGCACCTGTGGTCCTAGGCAGTCCTGAAGTCCACTGCCCTGGCTAAGTGATTCCCTCAGTGACTGGGATGAATTTCCCGACAGTTTTCAAGATCACTGCCCCAGTTGTACCACTCACTCATTCAGTGGCTGGTAGGGGAACCCAGGCCTACCCCCTACATTGGGTTCCAGTCCAGGGGTCCTATCTCCTGCAGCTGAGGTCTGTACTACCCAAACCTTCCTGCCTCCCCCGCACTACTTACCTTGCCTATCCCAGGCTTGTATTCACCACTGTCGCTAAACCCCCATCTCCTAGGTCAGCTAGACAAACCCTTCCTTTTTGGTTCAAACCCCTTTCCCTCCCATATCCCAGAGAGAGTTCCTAGAGCCCACTTTCTGCCACCAGCTCCCTGGTTTTATAGACACCCCTCCTGTTGCTCCACAGGTGAGCTTTCTGCTTCCCTTAATTAGGGCTCTCCTCTCCCTGTAAATATCCCCCAGCTTGCGGCCTAATAGGTTAATTGGCCCACCTGGCCTACGTTATCCCCTTCTAGCAAGTGTGGGGAACACACCCCATCATGGTTAGTCTTTCTAAAACCTTTACCTTGTTTCCTCCACTTAGCACCATCTGCCTTTTGCCTACATTACTCGTGGATCAACAGGCAATTGATTTAAACCAGCTCTATGTTGTTTCAGTGATGAGGTGGCTGCTAAACAATTTTCTGCAGTTTAATAGTAATACAAATGGCTCCATGCATCACTAAGGCACTGAGGGCCCAATCCCATAGATGCCTAGGGTGTGTCTACACTGCACTCAAATGCCTAAGGCTGGCCTGTGTCAGCTGACTCAGGCTCAGGCTATGGGGCTGTAAAATTGCAGTGTAGACGTTTGGGCTCGGGCTGGAGCTTGTACTCTGGGACCCCGTGGGAGGGGAGAATGTCTACACTGCAATCTAAGCCCAGGGTTAGTAGAATTCGAGTTAACAGACCCTGGGTTTGTTACCTCATTTGTAACCCCAGGTTAGGAATTGTTGAAACCTGGGTCCTAGCCTGGGGCTCCAGTGTCTGTGATGCGTTATGCGGGCTCAAGTCCAACCACTCATATCCCAGACTTCCCAGTGCGCTCACAAAACATGGCCACTTTAGCCCTTTGTTCGTGGTGCAGTGTGGGAAAACTTGACTGTCCATCAAACTTGACAGTCCAGAGGACAAAGAAAGTTGGTCCATGGCACCATGGGATACTTTTGGCAGCTCCCAAAGCATGAGTCTAGCGAGGCTGCATCTACACTGCAAAGAAAATAGGGCTTAAACCCTGGGTCCCAGCTTGACTGAGGTTCAGACCCTCCACCCCGATAGGTCCTGGACTGGGTCTGAGCCCTGGGTTAGCACGATTTGTGTGTAGATTGAAGGGAGATTGGCTTTAGCCTGAGTCTGAACCCTGGGCTTACGTTGCAGTGTAGACATACACTTAGGTTTGGTCTACATCTAAAACTTAGGTTGACCTAGCTGCATCGCTTGGAGCCAGTGGCACTGTAACACTTTTTACAGTGGGGGTGCTGAAAGCCAGTGGTCCCCAAAATTTTTACCTCGCACATCCTCTTACCCCTGTCCGTGCCCCCTCTTCCCAGAGCTTGGGCCAGGACTAGCTGTGGCTTGCGGGTGAGAGGGGACGTGGACGGGGGTAAGAGGGCTGAGGCTGGGACCACAGCTGGGGGTGGGTCCTGCAGCTGGGACCCCGGGTGCGGGGCCAGGAGCAGAGCCCTAGGTGTGAGACTGGTGGCAGCCAGGACCCCAGGCGCGGGGCTAGGAGTGGAGCCCCGGGCGTGAAGCCGGCAGCTCCAGGACTAGGCTGATGGAAGATTTCTTCCATAGATCTTGCTACTGCCTCTCAATGGGGTAAATTTCCTGCAGTGATGGAAACCCCCCTTCCTTCGCTGTGGTAAGCGTCTACACTACAGCCCTGTAACCGTGTAGCTGCAGCTGTGCCATTGTAGCACTTGTAGTGTAGACACAGCCTTAGGGCTAGACTCTCCCAGCCACTCGGGGCAATAAGGGAGATTACAGCCTCCCTTGCTCGCCTGGTTGGCCCTGCTCTGATTGTGACTGGCTGTGGGGAGGGATAATTCACCCAAGCAGGGGGGTTTCCCCTGATACTCCCCACCATAGAGAGGGGTGGGGCCTGAGAGGAGGTCTGACTCCATCCCCCTTCCCCTCTCGTTGGCCAGAGTAGGTGGCTGGATGCACAGGGGGAATTAAGCTGCTCCATGAAAATGGGTGGTGGGGCCGAGAGCCACAGCCCGTTATCTGCTCTCCTTCTGGCACAGCACAGCTACATGTGACGTTGCCCGCAGACAGTCATGTGACAGTCTAGCCCCTAGGCTGGGGAGTAACTGTGTTCCAGGGCGAAGGTCCCATTGAAGTCATGACACGTATCTGCCTATGTGAGTACATTTATTCCTGGGTGTATCCTTTGTCAGCCTCTTGCCCCAATAAAAAGAGGCATGTCGGGGTTGGTCTGGGAGCACGGCAGAGCTCATGACCGGACCTCTTTGGCAGGAGAGACCTAGCACCAGCAATGTAAGTTAGAGCAGGATTCTTTCTGTTCTAACTTTGTGCTGGGGCCAGGTGGCCCTGAACTGGGACGATGCAGCCGGCTCCCTGAGGCTGCCACTGCTCTACAAAGTGGAGAATCAGGGCCAGACTGGGGTTTTCTTGTAACTTCTCAAACTAAGGATTTGCAGAGCAGACTCCAAGTGCATGACAAATTGGTCATTCGGGTGTTCCTAAACTTCGGTGCATCTACTAACCACAACGACTCTGGGAGTGAATATATGATGGGGGGGGGGGGGCAAAATATGTCTATTACATAAACTAAGATACATATTGGGAAAATAACCCCCCTTGAAAAGATTATCTGTAAGTGAGATCCGAACTGCTGTCCTTCACTCTTCCTGCTATGTCTTTTTCAGACAGCAGCATGGTGAGTTAAGCAGAGCCTTAGGAATTGAGCTTAGGGCTTGGTTCTGATCTAATCTATCTATCGCATAGAGTTTCATCCTGCCCCCCTTCACCGTAGTACCTGACTGCCTTCTGTGTAAAATCAATAGCAAGTCCCTAGCAGACTTCATGGGTGTCTCTGGCACTTCTCTTTCACACTGGTTTTACACTGACATTGACTTGAGTGGAGTGACTCCTGATTTGTGCTGGTCTGAAACAAGAATCAGGCCCTCAGTGATCAGATGGCTCAATGCAGGGGTGGCCAACCTGTGGCTCCAGAGCCGCATGCATAGGGTGACCAGACAGCAAGTGTGAAAAATCGGGACGGGGGTGGGGGGGTAATAGGAGCCTATATGAGAAAAAGACCCAAAAATCGGGACTGTCCCTATAAAATCGGGACATCTGGTCACCCTATGCATGCAGCTCTTCAGAAGTTAATATGCAGCTCCTTGCATAGGCACCAACTCCAGGGCTGGAGCTACAGGCGCCAACTTTCCAGTGTGCCGGGTGTGTGTGTGTGCTCGCTGCTCAACCCCTGACTCTGCCACAGACCCTGCCCCTACTTCACCCCTTCCCCTAAGGCCCCCGATCCTTCCTGCCCCGTTCCCTGAGCCTGCCACGCCCTCGCTCCTCCCCCTTCCCCCAGAGCCTCCTGCAGGATGGGGAAGGAGTGGGAGGCGCTGATCAGCAGGGCTGCTGGCAGGCGGGTGGAGCTGATGGGGGAGAGGCTGCTGATGTATTACTGTGGCTCTTTGGCAATGTACATAGGTAAATTCTGGCTCCTTCTCAGGCACAGGTTGGCCACCCCTGGCTCAATGGATCAAACCTTGCTTTCCAAAAGCCCTTTCCTCTTAGTGCCAATGTGTCTCTTCTCCATGTATAGGGATCAGTTGGGGGCATACATTGTAAGGACCAAACTGGGAGCAATTTCTCAGATGTTTTAAAAGACTTGCCTGCAGGCGAAGATCACAACTTGTGAGTTACCAGTGCCTTGGGACTGGAGGGTTCTATAGAACTCCCTGGACCATCTTCATCCCAAGTGTAACACCACTGAAGTACAGCCTGTTGTGTCCTTGCCAGATGGAGATTTTGACTCTCTGTTCATGTCTGATTTGTAGCGATAGTAATGACCATTCTGATGTAATGCTCAGAAGCTGGGTGAACGACTAAACCAATGCTTCCAACATAACTCCTCTGTAAATCTATTGAATTAAGTAGATCTGTATGGATGCAAACCCTACGTTATGGAACTGTGCGGTTATTCTCATATAACCTCCACATGCTGTGTGGAGCGTGGCTTATTCAGTCTTCCAGAGACTGCTACAGGCTTGTCAGAGGGCAGTGTTGTCTAGTGGTCTGAGCACAGGGCTGGGAGCCCAGAACTTCTGTACCTAACCCCCGCTCTACCACTCCCTAGCTGCAGTGGCCTTCAGTAAAGCATTTAACATCTCTGTGTCTGTCCCTGCACTGGTAAATGGAGACGGTAACACTTATCTACCTCACAAGACTGAGTCGTGATTGTACAGAGTTTGGGAAGAAAAGTCAAGCGCTTTCTAAGTGTTATTGTTGATGCAGCACGGATGATTCTTAACGTTAAGCTCCTCTTTCAGTTTGCTCATGTTGTTCGGTGTGCCGAATCCTCAGAGGTGAGTGCTGGATTCCACGCATCCCTTGTGAGCACGGCTGCGTTCGCCTGCGATGTCTTGCAATTCTTATTCTTGCTCCCTGGGGTTCCTAACAAAGAGGACAAATGAATAAGGCTGGGGCAACAATGAATGAGTTTGTAACTGTGAAAAATGAGACTCGGGGCTGCGCTATGTGTGTTTCGTTGCTAACCATGCATTGCCGTGAGCTCTTCCTTTCAACTTACTGACCCGCATTACAAAGGCTGTGGAGTGCTTTGACTTCAGCCCTGTGGATATTGGGGAGTTTTGTGCCACTGTTGCTACACTAGTGCAAATCCCCGGCATAGATCCATTGTGCCGATGTAAGACAGGGCTTGCTTTGCTGTGACTAAGCGAGAGTAAATTACCAGGGTACATCACACCAGTCCCAGCCTCATGTTGCACTGTTGCTAGGGGTTTGCACAGATGTCACTACATAGATGCATTTACACCAGTACAAATTTCTCTAAAGTAGGCCTGGTCTATACCTAAAACTGGGGTCGACCTCGCTACATCGCTCAGGGCTGTGAAAAATGTCACATCTGTGTGACATTGTTAAGCTGATCTAAATTCTGGTTTAGACACTGCTAGGTCAATGGAAGAATGCCAACCTAGCTACCACCTCTCAGGTCATGTCTACACTACAAACTTTTGCCGACACAAGTGACGTTGGCATAAAGCCACTGCAGTTATTTTAATCCTTGTGCGCATGCAAACTTTGCTTCTTGCGTCAGCGCTGCGTGTACTCAGTAGGGGTGTTTCTGTCAATGCACAATGTGGTGCACCATGGTTAGGTATCCCCAGAGTGCAACTTCCCGCCATCCAGCTCACTGACTTTTGGGGACGTTTTGGCAAAGGGTGGGGCAGAAATGAGTTGCTCAGGGCTAAGTGGGACTGCAGGGTCAAGTTCCTATCCTGTAGTGCCATCTTTATCCCCTAATTTTTGCACCTATTTTGAAAATACCATGAACCTGCGTGGGACCTGTCGCTGTCCCCCGTCTCTGGCAGAAGCAAGGAGTCTGCAGAGCTTTGCACAGTGATCATGAACATTGCAAGCACAGGATGCACGATCCTCCAGTATTTGCAGAACCACAAGAAGCGCCGTGGGCAACATGATGATTTCCTAGAGGTCAGACTGCTGTGGGATGTGGCGAGAACCAATTCAAGGTTGGTGGTGGTGGTCACGGAGCAGCTGGAAATGGCAGCGCGCCACTTCTGGGCCTGAGAAATGAGCACTGACTGGTGGGCTCACATTGGAATGCAGGCTTGGGATGATGAGCAGTGGCTACAGAACTTACGGATGCACAAGGCCACATTCCTGGATCTCCAGCACAGGGACACCAGAATGAGAGCTGCACTGACAGTGGAGAAGCGAGTGGCGATTGCACTGCGGAAACTTGCAACACTGGATTGCTACCAGTGGGAAATCATTTTGGGGTTAGAAAATGCACTGTGGGGGCTGTTGTCATGCAAATGTGCAGGGCCATTAATCGTCTCCTGCTATGCAGGACTGTGACTGTAGGCAATGTGCAGGGTATAATGAATGAATTTGCAGCAATGGGGTTCCTGAACTGCAGTGGAGCGATAAACAGCATGCATATCCCTATTTGGCACCAGACCACCTTGCCACAGAGTACATCAACAGAAATGGCTACGTTTCTGTGGTTATGCAAGTGCTGGTGGATCGCCAGAGACGTTTCACCGACATCAGTGTTGGCTGGTCAGGAAAGGGGCATGACGCTCATGTCTTAAGAACACAGGACTGTTCAGAACACTAAAAGCAGGGATATTCTTTCCCGACCGGCAGAATCCCATTGGTGATGTTGAAATGCCAAAAGTGATCCAACCAAGCCCTTACTCCCGTACACAGGCCACCTTGACAGCACCAAGGAAAGATTCAACTAGTGGCCCAGCTGGTGCAGAATGACAGTTGAATGCGCTTTTGGTAGATTGAAGCAAAGGGGGAAAAGTTGCTGCCGGGGTGGAGAGCAGAGATGGAGCAGCAGTCTGCGGAGTATGAACAGCCAGACACAAGGGCTATCAGGAAAGCTCAATGCAGAGTTGTATGGCTCAGGGAGGCTTTGAAAGAGCATTTTAATATAGTGAGCCACCGTGACGTGTTGTGGTGCACTGCGCTCTACCTGGCCCTGCAGTTTGAGGGCCTGTTAGGCATTGTGTGGTGCTTGGTGCACATCTATGGATATAACACTTTCAATGCACCTATTAATTTTGTGATGCTTGCTGCACATTTATGATGATCACACTGTGTTTATCTCTGCTCCTCTGAGTTGTGTCGAAGTGTACAATCACAAGAGAGCGGGTGCTTTCCATATCACCAGCCATTCTGCAGCATATGTTGGGAACTAATAAAGGATGAATTATTTTCCAAATGAGAGTTTTATTGAATAACAAAAAACACTTCAAAAAAATTCTGTGCAAGTTAAAAGCAAACACATCAAAACCTTAACAAATGTATGGAACTGAGCTTAAAGAACATTCATGTCCATTATAGTTACATATACAGCAGTCGTGGCTGTCACAGGTCAGTGTATTTGAAGCTGTGCTTGTACTTAATGTTCCCCGGTGTGCAGTAGGGATGCGGCCCCTGATGCCACATGGAATGTTGATTGGGGTGTAGGGAGGGGCTGTGATGGAGCTCTCCATGGACTGCAAAGGGATTGTTGAACCTGTAGGTCCACAAGAGTCTGCAGCATCCGTGTTTGCTGTCAGAGAAGCCCCATTATATTCCAGTGCATCTCCTTCTCTGACTCCTGGCCCTTTCTCCTGTCCACTCTTTCCTTCTCCATATAGTCTGTAATATTCATCCTCCAGATCCTCTGGTCATGATCTGATGCAGCACTGGCTTGCAGGATCTCACTGAACATGTCATCCCGAGTCCTCCTCTTTCTCCTCTTTTTTGGGCTCAGGTGTTCCCTGGGTGCGGAGGGGGGACCCCGCAAGGCCTCAGTATCAGCAGCCACAGATAAAACACACAGAGGTACCATTGTCAGTATTGTCACAGCAGAAAGCAAAGTGAAGATTCAGAATTCCCGTCCCTGGCTCCCCTAAAGTTTTAAACCAGACACACTTATTGACACATCTACTTCAGAGGGCTTGTGCACGGCACCAATCACAGCCACAGATGACCCGTGCCTGGCGATAGTGCGGGGGCAGAGAGAGGGCAGCCGGCTTCAGCAGTGTTACTGAGCATCGCCAGTCTGTGTGAGCGTGCTCAGTACAAGCCAAACAGCCAGTCTTGGGTGGGGGGCACGTCACCCCTCATGCCCCCCCGTGTGTTGCCTCTGCTCACAGCACCGGCCCTGGTGAGTATGGCCTGCCAGGGTGAGGGAAATGAGGATGGAATTGCTTAGTTGCATGAAGCTATGAATATAGGGCAATGGCACTGAATATTGGCATCATTTTCTACTGGGGGTGATTTTAGCTGATATCTCACTCCTGAGGGTAACAAAGACACCGAGATCACAGCTGCTGGTGGTGTCCCAAAGCTGCCTGAGCCCATGTGCCACTAGCCTGTTTATTGAAATGGTGACTACCAACGTTATTGCTGACTGGCATGGCAAAGTGTCCTACCATGGAGGTAGTAATAAGGCAGCCATGCCTAGAAACCTTCAGGAGTGGATTGCAGAGTACCTCCATGAACGTTTCATCGAGGATTCAAGGGACATCCCTGTGTGCATAAACAAACTGCTCCACATGTGACCCCTGCCTGACTCGACAAGGGAATGAAAAGCAGATGACAACTCTACCTCTCTTTGTTGGAACACACCTCTTCCAGAATGAGTAAATTAATGAAAAGTCATTAGCTGTGTCCTGCTAAGTTGGGGACGCCATCACTGTAATGGGAAATAAATGTACACGCTTACCCAAGGTTCCTTCCCCAGCATCGGGCTCGCCTATGCTCGACTGGTGGGACTGACTAGACTACACTGGAGTCTCAAACAGGTCCTGGTTCATGGCATCGTTGGATTCCCTCAGTCACATGTCCCCCATGCTCCTTGTCCTCGCTGTTCACGCCAGGGGCTGTGTCTCGGGCTCCTTGGAGGTATCCACGGTAGTGTTGGGGGCTCAGCTGTAGCTGTGCCTCTGTAGCGGCGGGAGTGTAGACATGCCCTGTAGCTGGGGGTTTGGCTGTCAACGCTGTTTTCAGCACCGCATCAATTAGATCGGTTCCTGCCAGACCTAGGTCATATCCTTTTCCCTTGCTCTTTATCCTGGTGGGAGGGAAAGGTCCTTTGTTTTGAGTGGGCCATGAATGGAGGATTGGGCTGCAAGGGACATTACCTAAAGGTAAATAAAAATAAATCCTTGCTGTATTAGAACCTTGTAACCGGTACTTATAATCTCTCATAACTCAAGCCTGACCTCAGATGTACAGAACCTTCCTTCTTAAACTTGATTTTAAACATTAGCTTTGATAAAATTTTTTATTACTGATGGCACCTTAGGTAATGAGCAGTGAAAGGGGTTTTAAATGTATTCTTCACCCTTTGTACTTACTGTTTATTGTGCGCACTTCTGTCACCCTGGAAATGCAACAGCACAAAGATCAAAGGGTTGCAGTGCTCCCACACCCACTACAGCCATTCCTTTTCGCAGGGCCCACTCTCCTCACCCACCCAGCCTAAGGGCCTGATTCTCCATTGCTGACTTCTCTGATGCACTTGCAAAGAATGCTTTGCCTTTTAAAATGCTCTTTCGTTGAGCACAGCTTTGGTCATTCAGTGAACTGGTCCCTGAGTAAATTAGGTGAGTGTATTTTCTCAATTCTGCAAAAAGCAGGGAGAAAACCAACCCAGCTCTGTACAAGAGCTTGAGAGATGCTAAGTCTTTCTACGCTGTTATTTATCCTTGAGACAAGGTGGGTGAGGTAATAGCTTTTATTTGACCAACTTCTGTTGGTGGGAGAGACAAGCTTTCGAGCTTACACAGAGCTGCGTAGGCATGGGAAGTAAGGGTGTGGG